CACAGATCAACTGCTAATCACCCACAGAAAGTAGAGAACCAATTCCACAGTTCTTTACAGAAGAGGTTTCAGAAATTTATCCACAAAACCAAACAAAAAGCTACCTCTAGAGGTGTGTTTCAAAGCAAAAAGAACTGGGTACCAGGAGACCTAAATTCTAGCGCCACTGAGTTCCTAAGTTCAGTTTTTCTGCAATTTCCTACCAAAGTCTGGAGGGGCAGCCCCTCCTCTTTGAGTATCTATCTGCCCAACTGATCCCATCACAGCCAGAAGCCCAACAGCCTCAAGCTCTGTCCTTGTACTCTCCCGTCCCCCAGCCCAGGGGAGAGCGCCCAAACCCCTGACCCCTAAGTCTGGGATGGACAACCAGGACTCTGACTCCCTCTAACGCTGAGACAGCCCCAGGCCTGCATAAGCGGGTTGCGGGGTTCACGTTACCACTCTGCACTCCACTCCTACGTAAACCAAACCCCACCCCCTAGTCTCCGCCTTTCTTCCCCGCTCCTCTCCGCCTCCCTGCCACCTAGCCGGCCCGAGTGCTCTCTAAGGTTTCTCCAACTCAGCCCCATCTGCCGGGATGGGGTCAGTCCCGAGCGGAGCTACTTTCCAGCTCCCACTCTAGTGCAAAGGTCAGTGAAAGAACGAACTCAACAGCTCCTCAGAAAGTGGGTTGTACATCGTCTGGCGAGGTAGCCCTTCCGATTCCCAGTTAGGACACATGTCTGGGTTAAAGGCCAGGTCCCCAGTTGGGGGCGTCCGTGAGGCAACCGATGGATGTTCCTCTCCCTTTTCCCCTCCCTTCCCCTCTTTCTAAAAAATAAATTTTTTTTTTTTTAATAAAAACACTGTCAGGGTATCCAGATCCCGCAAACCAGGAGGTGAACCTGCGCATGTGACCTCCTGGAACTACACTTCCCAGCACGCTCTGGGAGGCAGGGAGCCCCTGAGCCTCGTCAGCTGCAGGCTCCCCAGCGCCTTTCCCTCCTGGTGAGAGCTGCAAATGTGCCTTACTCTTGTGGTTTAAGTGAAAAGGAGAACGGAAAAGAAAACAATCTCTTTTGCCGTAGGCAAATACTTATCCAAAGGGATGCAAATTCATCGTTAAAATTTTCCCGTTGCACAAAGGTGATGTTTATTCGTTTTATCAGTATATCAATAGATGATTTATAAGTAACGTTTTATAAATAACAGATAAGCAAGAGGACAGGAAAAAATCCAAACTAAATGGAATTCCATAACAAAGAGTAACTATGGACGCCATGGTGTGTGTGTGTGTGTGTGTGTGTGTGTGTGTGTGTGTGTAATTCTAAAAACAAATCTGATAGTCCCATTCCTCGTCATAAATACCACTGTGTGTGAGAGGACAGGAGATGAAATATTGAATAAGATCATACTTTGGGAATAAATATTTTTTCTAGGGCTTTTTTTTCTTTCTGTGAGTAATTTAGCTTATGTTCACTTTAACGCTACTAAAATGGTGCTTTGATGAACCCTTGTAGATTAATTTGTGCCCTCCTCCACAACTGTTCTTGAGAATAAAGCCCGACAAATGAATTTAATTCAAAGGGAATGTACATACCTAACTTTTATCTATACAAAGAATATATATGGGCTGCAGAAAATAGAGAATAAGGATGAGGAAGAGGAAAAATAACAAAATTAAAATCAGATTAAAAGCCCACTCTAAGGTTGGAGGCCTGGGTGGAAAAAAAGTGAAGAGACTAAGCAAAATAACAGACACAGACAACAGTGTGGTGACTGCTAGAGGAAAAAGGGGTGGGGGGAGGTAGAAAAGGATAAAGGGGAGATCAATGGTGATGGAAGGAGATTTGACTTTGAGTGGTAAATGCAACATGCAACATGCAGATGATTATAGAGTTACACACTTGAAACCTGTATAATTTAATTAATCAATATCACCCCAATAAATTCAATAAAAATAAAAATAGGTTGCTTCTATGCATATACATACAAATTATATAATCATATATGCTTAAGTATGTATTCTGTGTACTTTAAAAATTAAAAGAGACCCTGGCCAAGTAGCTCAGTTGGATAGAGCCTTGTCCTGAAAAGCTCAGGTCGCAGGTTTGCTCCCCAGTCAGGACGCATACTAAAATCAACCAATGAGTGCGTACATAAATGGAACAAACAGATGATCATGTCACTGCACAGGGACTGGGACCAAGGTGGGTCTGCTGCGCCGTGGTCTGGAATGTGTGGCTTCTTGACTACATGCAGGCAAGATTTCAAGACATGAGTTCAGATGATTTTGAGTACATTTATTAAAGATGAGGACAGTGAAATAAAGGAAGGGCTTGGGATGGAAGAAGCAAGAACACAGCAACAGGAGTGAGTCTAGGTGGAGGTGCTTTTTAACTCACTGGAGTTAAGCAAAAGGAGGCCCTCAGAGTCAGGATCAGCTGCCCTCTGCTCTGGCTGGTTTCGAGTCTCATTGGATCCCTGGGCACTTAGGGAAAAGCACAGAAGCAAGCCTGAGGAAGGAGGGTGGGGACGTGTGCGCATACTCACGGAAGAGAATGTCTACTAGCATCCTTTGCCTTGAGGGTTTTTATCCATTTTTTAAAGGCAGGAATTTTAGGTGAGATTCCCTCTTTAAAAATGACTGAGTGGAACCCGTGAAACCATATAGACCTAAAGTTTTCTTTTAGGGAAGATTTTAAATTATAAATTCAATCCCGTTCATTGTTATTGGGCTATTTTGAGTATTCTTACCCAGTTTTGGTAACTCAAATATTTCAAGGACATTTCCAATTTAATCAAATTAGCAAATTTTTAAAATAAAGTTACTAATAACTTTCTTTTCATTGACTGTAAAATAGTGGTATCACCTCCTTTATTCATTAGTAATTTCTGTCTCTTCTTTATTGGGATGTGCCTATCCTAAGATTTACCAACTGCACTGATTATTTCAGCGAATCACCTTTTGTTGTCATTGACTTTTCTCTATTGTTTATGTTCCAGTTCCGGGATTGACATTTTCTGTGAAGTGCCAGATAGTGAATATTTTAGGTTTTGTGAACCACTTTCGGTCCCTGTTGCACTTTGTTTTACAATCCACTTTTTTAAAAATGATTCTAGCTTAAGGACAGTATGGAAAAAGGGAACTAGCCAGATCTGGCCTGTAGTCTGACCCATTCTAATTCATTGATTTGTGCACTTACATTTATTACTTATATTCTCTTACTTATTTGGGGTTTTATCACTCATATCTTTCCATCTTTATAAGGTGAAAGCTTGGGTAATTGACATCTCCTCTAATAAAATAAGTTAAAACTATACAATTTTCTCCAAGTGCTACTCTAATAGCATCCCCAATACATTGACGTACTGTTTTCATTTCAATATTATCTAATTTCTCTCGGGATTCAACCCTACGTAGGCTACCAAATAGGAAAGGTGTAGAAATTCCATTTTCTCCAACTTATCAGAAAAAAATCCATGGTTGGATTCCCTCCCATCCTACCCCCAACACACTGGCATGACATTTTGACCTGTTACATTCTAAGAATGTCTGAAATAGGATAGAGCTCAGCTGTGGAAAAAACCTGAAGTTGAAACAAGCATGACACCTAATAATTTAAGTGACCATCAGCATATTAATCTTTAAATAAACACCAGCATCTCAGTGACAGACATGATTAACATTTTTACCACGTAACCTATAAAGCAACCTAAGGCATATTTTCTACATTATTAGGTAGCTCCATTTGTTTCAACTTTTGACTCTGCCTAAAGACTTTGAAATATCTGAGTTTATGTACTGTGTAATGTTTCAAAGCCTGAGCAGGAGCCATGGTTTCTTGCACAATCTCTCAAATTCCACTTGTTTAAAGTGAGAACAGGCTGTGCTCGCTTCAGCAGCACAGACTTAAATTGGAGTGAAAGAGACCACCACAACCCCTATGCAAGGGTGACACACACATTCATGGAGTGCTGTGTACTTTTAAAAATTGAGATAGTGCTTGACTCATAGCGCTCAAGAAATATCTAACAGTAGCACTACTAAAGTAGAAAAGAGGAAGTATGAAGTATCCTTCTTAAAGGAATAAAAGCAAATAGGCTAATATGTCAAATATATTAGGAGGCAATTAAAAAAAATGTACAGGAACCCCCTGCCTCTTTAATGGTCATGGAATTACTAGCTGTGTGTAGGAAACCATAAAATAGAAAGTAAACATTTGAAAATAAAGGTACTGAATCTTATAAGAATCTGGGACATGAAACAGAAGGAGTATAAAGCTTTCTCCTTGCTGAAATTATGCACAGAATTAATGGGATGATAGTGAAGAGGGATAAATGCTGGAAACACAATGAATTCTACTGGTTCAAGTCTCTCTGAAAATATTACTTGGTTTCATACGAGGCCTAACAAGTAAACTGAACCTCGAGGAAAGTCTCAAAGGAGTTTGACAAATGATTGTTATGACTGTAAAGTTTGCATGATCATATAGTTTCTAAGATGACAACATTGAAGGACAAGGCACATGGATACTTTAGTTTCTGACATGTTTGTTCAAAAAAATCCCATACATTTACATCCCAGACCAACATTCATCTTCAAAATGACTAATTAAAAATGTCTGCAGTTCACTTCTTTTAATTTAAAAGTTAAAAATATTTTTTAGATACTGATCAGGCCATTTAAGGAAACTGTTCTATTTTTTAATTAAATTAATAATCATAATTATTATTCACAATTTTCAATTCTAAAACATTAAAGTCTAAGAAGTATTTGATCTAAAAACAATTTTAAATCAGGTTCAAATGATACAGCAGCTTTACTTTCATTCAAGAAAACAATTTATTTAGCCCTGGCTGGTGTGGCTTAATGGGTTGGGCATTATCCTGAAAACTGAAAAGTCACCATTTCAATTCCCTGCCAGGGCACATTCCTAGGTTGCCAGCCTGGTCCCTGGTTGGGGGTGCGTGAGAGACAACAGACTGATGTTTCTCTCACTCTTTTTCTCCTTTCCTTTCCATGTCTGTAAAAATAAATTAATTAACTAAAAAATAGACATAAGAGTATTTTTTATAATAATCCCTCTTTTCATAATATTATTTGACAATAAATATTTATAAACATATAAGATTAGGTTACTGTTTGTAAAAGGAAAGCATACATTGAATAATGACAGAATATGAAAATTAAAGAAGTTATTTGTGATAATAAAATGACATCTCAATAAAACAGGCTTAATTTTTTTCCAAACAAACTAAAAAATGACAGTATAACTCCTAATACTTAGGCTGTCACAAGGAAATTTACAGGGCAGCAAAACAGATACACATAAACCAGTCTCTCAAAAACACTGTAGCCCCAAGAGATTCCACAAATAAGAAAGTGGAATCTAATAACCTTTAAAAACACGTTTCTTGTTAAATTACTCAACAAAATGTAGAAACGGAATACAGAAAACCACATGATGTTCAAACCAACTCAATTCTATCTGGAGGTGAAGTGACATGGCGCCCAGTCCTCCATGCCCCCAGTAGGACAGGACACTGTAGGGGCTAAGAAGTTGGTCAGAACTCCAACTCTCCACTGCCACGTGGCCTTTGCTGCATCAGGGAACACATCCAAGCTCCACTTGCCTTGTCTATAAAACGGTGATAATGCCAGTCTCATACATTTGCTGCAATGATTAAAGAGTGCATGTCAAAATGCTTAGTAGAATGCTTATATGGTAGACATGTACAATAAAGGAAGCTTTTAAAAATTTCTGATCATCACAAGGATACAAAGACCCTGAAGTGTACACAACAGTGCTTATGTAAACGCTATACTGAGTTGAAAACAGGAGAATGAACAGGAACTCCTTGTGGAGAACCACGTCTGTCATGTGTTGAGAACGGCAACACTGCCCACAGCCACGCTGCTGACTTCTTTCAGCCTTGTGTTGTTTGGTGTCTTTCTTCTCCCTGTATGCTTTAAATATTGTTTTAAATCTACCACTGACTACTGAAGTCTTTACTAATACTTAGATTTCATCCTCTTTATTCTATACATATCAAAAAAGTGAGGAAGATCTATATGTAATACTTTTTTATATTCTTGTTAAGTAACAAACCATACTGCTTTTGCAGACACAGTTTATCCTTTTGCACTTTGTGTTTTAAGATGTGGGGGAAATTATGTCATTTAGAGTGAAGGCAGGCAGGTGTAAATATCCACATTCACTTCCCACTAACACAATTTTGGTTTGAATGCCATTCCTACATCACTTGCAGGATGATTACACGTGGTTGTCCCATTGCTGTCCTGATTATTCAGTTTACTTATGCATTTTAAAAAGTTGTCCTTTATAGTTAACAAGTCAATTATATGTAATTGAGATTTTTCTAGCATATTATAAAAAACTCTTACTGTTAGGTCTGAACCAAAATGTCCAATATAGCAGTGTTTTGTTTTGAAACATGATTTTTCAAGCTTGCTTCTTAGTATGAATTTTGTAGTGCTTAATAATTCTGGAGCTATTAATGAAGGCTTCCCATGTAAATTCATATAATTTCTAGCCATGTAAGTTCTATGATGTGCAATAAAATTTTGATCACTGAATTAAAGTTTTCTCATTCAGTTGAAAGGGTGCCTGTTCAATGTGAATTCTTTGATGTACTGTGAGAGTCGATTTCTTGCTGAAAGCTTTTCTACATTCACTGCATTCATAGGGTTTTTCTCCAGTATGTATTCTGTAATGTACAGTGAGATGTGACTTCTTGCTAAAGGCTTTTCCACACTCACTGCATTCATATGGTTTAGTCCCAGTATGGATTCTCTGATGCACAATGAGTTGTGATTTCTGGATAAAAGCTTTTCTGCAGTCACTGCATTCATAGGGTTTCTCCCCAGTATGAATCCTCTGATGTTCAATGAACTGAGAACGCCGGAGGAAGGCTTTCCCACATTCATTGCATTGATATCTTTTGTCCCCGGTGTGAGTTCTCTGATGTATAATGAGATCTGACTTCTGAATGAAGGCTTTTTTACATTCATTACATTCAAAGGGTTTCTCCCCGGTATGAGTTCTGTGATGTAATCTTAGTTCTGACTTCCTGTTGAAGGCTTTTCCACACTCACTACACCGATGGGGTTTCTCCCCCGTATGAATTCTCTGATGAACAACGAGCTGTGACCGCCAGATGAAGGCTTTACCACATTCATTGCACTCATAGGGTTTTTCCCCAGTATGAGCTCTTTGATGTACACTGAGTGTTGACTTTTTGATAAAAGTTTTCCCACATTCATTGCATTCATAGGGTTTCTCCCCAGTATGAGCTCTTTGATGTACACTAAGTGCTGACTTTTTTATGAAAGCTTTCCCACATTCACTGCATTCATAGGGTTTCTCCCCTGTGTGAATCCTCTGATGAATAATGAAGTTTGACTTTTGGATGAATGCTTTCCCACATTCACTACACTCATGGGGTTTCTCTCCTGTATGAGTTCTCTGATGTACAGTGAGTTGTGACTTCTGAGTAAAGGCTTTTCCACATTCATTGCATTTGTATGGTCTCTCCCCCGTATGAATTCTTTGATGAACAGTGAGTCCTGACTTTCCAGTGAAAGCTTTTCCACACTGAACACATTTATGTTTCTCACTGGTTACAGTTTGTGGTTGTGTAAAGAGGTGTGACCTGTGCATGGAGGCTCTGATGTGCTCATTAGCTGTGTTCAGATGAAACACTTTCCCCAGTGTATTACATTCATGGTTTAGCTCCTTAGTCAGTGACTCACTATTACCTAATGCAACTTGGTTCAAAAACTTGTCTTGGTTTTCCCGGTGATTTGTATCACCTCTCAGTTTCCCGTCTTCAGAAATTGAGTATCCTATCATGTTATGGAGTACCATTTCTTCAGAAATGATCTTCTGTGGAGTTAATTCTTTCACTTTGGGTCTAATTTCAAAGGCTGAAAAAATCCAAAATGTAATGATGTTACTTCACTCTTGAGCTTTGAAAAATATAAAACAAAACACACAGTTCTTCATTTTAATGAGAACAGCAAATCTGATCATGAGTATGGTTGGTCAGCTTTAAAATGTAAGAGTATGATCTTAAAACCCAAAGACAGAAGAACAAGCAGACATTAAAAAAAGGTAGAATGGGAGAAATGGAAAAAGAAGAGTTCATGAACTCAATCAAGGTTCCATATCATGGTTCCACATGGTCCCCCACACTTCTGCCCCACCCCCACTCCACCATGAGGCTCTGTGAAGAGCAAAGGCAGACCAAAAAGTAACTTCAGGAAAGACAAAGAAAGGATGGTAGCAAAAAAGAACTGAGAGTAAGTTAAAGTAATCAGCAGAACGATTAAACCCACACTAAATATAAAAATATTGTATAAGTAACTGGGCAGAGTAAAGCACACTGCAGAAAAGGGATTTTATAGGACTGTACATATATCTTAAAGTATCAGATGACCTAAAAAGGCATGGAATGGGGCAGGTTCTATTTAAAGGGAGCAATCCTGAGTTAGAAGAACAGGTGACTTCGTAGGAAGAAAAGGTGAAAAAGAAACAAGACATACCCTCTACTTTTGGATGGTAGTGATTACGAAGAAAAGAAAAAGGAGGAAATTTAGGGCCCTCGTGCAAAAAGAGAACCACAAAACCAGAAAAATCAAGACTCCTCCCCAATCACAAAAAGGAAGGAAGGAAGAAAAAACTGAGGGATCCTACCAAAATACCTAGACTTTGCTGTATTAATGGAAAAAAACTCCAACCCTGGTACGGCGCAGTGGATTGAGCTCCAGCCTGTGAACTAAAGGATCACTGGTTCGATTCCAAGTCAGAGCATATGCCTGGGTAGCAGGCCAGGTCCCCAGTGGGGGGCACACAAGGGGCAACCATACATTGATGTTTCTCTCCCTCCCTTCCCTCTGTCTAAAAAATAAATAAAAGTTAAAAAAAGAATTCCATTGAATTAGAATCTTATACCATGATATGATAAAAATTAACAGAAGAAAAGTAAAATCCGTAGAAAACTATAGAAAAAATCAGGCAATGAATTTGTATAGAAATCAACAGAGGACAGTCCCCTGAAAAAAAATAAATAAATAACCTAGCCATGAAGCAGAAGAAAATTTTGTCTGAACTCCAAATAGAATTAAATACACTCAAACAAGCATGAGGACATGGAAAAACACCATGAAACAGAACTTTATAAAAAATTAAATAGGAAAAAAAGGGGAGAGATGAAAATGAAATGAATAAACTCAGGGGAGGAGTGGAAGATGAAATTACAAGATGCAGGCAGGGAGAATACACTCAAATGAAAATTTAATAAGCAGCATTGAAAAAAGGCAGGGAAACAATGAAGATAGTAAAAATAAAGTAAAGAATCAAGTAAAAATGGTCATAGAGAAAGTAATGGAAAAGGAAGACAGGCAGAGAAGGAATATTTCTATTATTAAAGTCCTGAAAAAGCCCTGACCAGTGTGGCTCTGTTGGTTGGGCATCCCTCAAAGCAAAACGTCACAGGTTCGACTCCAAGTCAGGGCACATGCCTGGGTTGTGGATTCGGTCCCCAGCTGGAATATGTGTGAGAGGCAGCCAACTCATGCTTCTCTCACACATCAGTGTTTCTCTTCCTCTTTTTCTCCCTTCCTTCCCCCATCTCTAAAAATAAATAAATAAAATCTTTTTTAAAAAGTCCTAAAAAAATTTAAAAAACAAAAGATTGTAACTCTAAAACATTTCACACTGAAATAAAGAAAAATAGAAGCACTTAGAAAGAATATGAATAACATTCAGTAACTTTGAAATATAGTATATCTCAGAATGCCCGGATGGCCTGGATGCATAAGGAGAGGAGTATGCACCCATCTGGGGACAATGGGTGCTGAAGTCGTTAGCCAAGGGAGGCCAATTGATTAAGAAATGTCCTAAATGATGTGGACATAGATAAGAGCCAAACTATAGGTATCAAAACTCAAGCAAAAAAGAAAAAAAGGATCATATAGGCGTTTAATATGTAGCAGTGTCATTTAGGCATTCAACAATCCCACGGCCATGTGTGGTCCTCAGCCATTTCTAAACATCTATGGCCTTCAAAATGATTTCCTAAAAAATATTTCAAGGCTAGACATGTCCTTATTCAATACGAATCTTACATCCCTGCCTCCCATACGCCAGGTTCTCACTTACCTGGATAAGCCCAACTTGAGATTTCTCCCTCCACCATCCATGGCTCTCCTTGCTCCCACAAGAAGATTTTATCTGACTTCAGAGACTGATACCCTGTTTATGGGAAATGATACGGGACTTGGGCATTAGTGGACAACCAACCATCCTAGAACTCGGGCCCATGACATTATGTATCAGAATGGTTAAAATTAAAAAGACTCACATCACCAAAGCTTGATAGAACTCTTATACATTGCTAGTAAGATACAAATTGGTATGACGTCTTTGGAAACTGTCTGGTTGTATCCACCAAAGATAAAGATGCATATGCCCTATGACCCAGAAATGCTATTCCTATATATATCTATATATACCTAACAAGTGAAATCCTATTTCTACTAGAGAATATGTATAAGAACATTCATAAAAAAAGAACATTCATAAAAAAAGAACATTCATAACTGTTTTGCTCATGATAGCCAAAATCTGAAATAACTCATATGACCATCAAAGCCAGTGTGGATCAACAGATGAATTACCATATAGTCATTAAATGGAATACGAAGCAGTAAGAACAAAAATCAAACTTCTGTCGCATGCCAAAACATGGCTGAATTTCACAGATATGAAGGGCAATGAAAGATGCCAGACGACAAGAACTTGTGTACTGCGTGATCACACTTGCATGAAGCTGAGGAACGAACAAGATGTGCAGGGACAGAAGCCAGTCGTTCTCTCTCCTGGAGCTAAGTGGGAGGCTGCCGGGTACTGGAAATGTCCTATAGCTTGAGCTGGGTAGTGATTGAGTGAGTGTATGCAGATGAAAAACTGTGTTAAGCTGTGTACTTAAGATCTGAGTACTTACTATACACATTATACTTCAATTTATAAAAACTGAGGACTTGGGCCCAGCACGCTGTCTCTAGTCTCCAAGGAATGAGCAAGACACAGTTCCCATTTTCTTTTCATCCAAATTCCCAGAAAAGTAGAAGCATAGTATGGGTACTCAAAATTAAAACATATTTTTTGACATTTATTCCCCGAAATGAAGTGCATTAAGCATTCAGAGACAAAACAGTTTTTAATAAACAGGAAAGGGATGGCAGTCACGTAGGTACTACAATGGGTTTATTAAATGTCCCTGAAGCCCTTGACACTGTCTCATTCAAGACGGAGGGCCTAATCCTCCTCCCCTGGAGCACAGGCTGCACTTAGTCACTCACTCCTAATAAACACAATGAGGTAAAAGTGATGTGTGATTCTGGAGACTTGGTCATAAAAGGCACTATGACTTTGGCACTGCGGCTCCCTCCTAGCTTCTCTCAGATCAGTGTCTCTGGGGGAAGCTGGCCATGTCTCGAGAGCAAGCTCACAGGTCTGAGGTCTCCTGAGGTCTCCTTCCACTCACTGAACAGCAAGGGACTGATGGCTCCTCCCAGGAACCCCGTGAGTGAGTCACCCTGGAAACAGATCCTAGACTCCCAGTCCTGCTTTTGGATGGCTGTAGCCCGACAGTATCTGACCACAACCACATGAAAGACCACAAGCCAGAGCCACCTGGCTAAGTTCTTCGAAATTCCTGACCTACAGAAATTGTTTATTTTGAGCCACTAAATTTTGGAGTAGTTATTATATAGCAATAGATGGTTAATACCAACCAGTACCTGCAGAGGAAAGATGTCCTTACCCACTGCAACAAGGTTGCTATAGTTCTCCAGCATCACATCCTTGTACAGGTTCCTTTGAGCAGAGTCCAGCTGCTGCCACTCCTCCTGAGTAAAGTCCACAGTCACATCCTTGAATGACACAAACCCCTGTAACAGGACATTCTTGGTCAATCTTAAGTGAAAAGTACTGGATAATGTATGTAAAAATGTTGAGAAATTATTGCTGTTTTCATCATGTAGAGTTCAGCATGATAAGTTAAAAATATTACTATGCAGCTAATTTTTTTTAATCCTCACCCAAGGATATATTTCTTGATTTTAGGGAGACAGAAAGGTCCAGGATGGTGGGCAGGAGACAGAGAAACATTGACCGAATGTCTCCTATAATGTTCCCCGACCAGAGATCAAACTGGAAACCGTTTGGTGTGTGGTATGACAGTACAACCGACTGCACCACCCAGCCAGGGCACTATGAGGCCAATTTTTTATTTTAGAAAGAGAAGGAAAGAAATATTGATATGAGAAATATTGATCAGTTGCCTCCCATTTGCGCCTGACCAGGGACTGAACCTGCAACCCAGGCATGCGCCCTGACCAGGATTCAAACAGGTCATCTTTTGCTTTATGGTACAACGTCCAACCAACTCAGCCACACCAGTCAGGACTGAGGCCAATTATGTGTTTCACTATGCGGGAGAAGCAAAAATTCCTATTATAAAAACTTTGCCATTGAGTCCTGGCTGGTGTGGCTCAGTGGACTGAGCACTGGCCTGTGAACCAAAGGGTCGCCAGTTCAATTCCCAATCAGGGCACATGCCTAGGTTGCAGGACAGGTTCCCGGTAGGGGGCATGTGAGAGACAACCACACATTAATATTTCTCCCCCCTCTTTCTCCATTCCTTCCTCTCTCTCTAAAAATAAATCAAATCTTAAAAAAAAAAAAACAACTTTTCCATTGAGAATCATTCACTCTCTTTCCATTAATAAGTATTATTAAGCACCTACGTGACCAGCACTATTTGGTGCTCAGAATACAAATATGAATAAAACACTGGAAGTTTACAGACTAATAGATGGAGGCAAACAAGTAAATATATAAATGCTATAAGGTGTTAAGTGGGTTATGCTAGAAATAGGAAGGAAAGAGTAATTTTGACGTGCTGAGCTGGGTTTTGTAGAAGATGTAAATTTATGCAAAATGAATAGTGAAAAATGTACATGTGAATTGTAAAAAAAAGTCACAACAACAGCCGGCCAGGACTCCAGGATGATGGAGCACAAAGCAGACACAGGGAACGAGGGAGCCGCAGGCAGGACAGCCGCAGAGAGGCGTACGCAGAGGGCACGCGGGGGTGCAGGCTCGCAGACACAAACGCACGAGTACACGGAACACTGAATAAGAGGTGGGCCAGACACATCATTTTAGGGGACCTCACCACAGAATATTTACTAATTACACGTGGAAAAAGTGACTGTGAGAGGACCAGCCGGCCCGCCAGAATCAGAGAGAGACAGATGGACGACGCCGCCAGGAGGAGAGGCAGGGCCCCCTGCAGGGGATGGAGGCCCCTAGGCTGGTCAGGGGCACATCAGCCAGCTGCAGTGCCGGGTCACGGAGCAGAAGGAACTGAGGACCATCCGGACTAGAGGGGGCAGGGCAAGGTGGTCCCTGTGGGTGGAGCAGCGTGTTCTCAGGCACGTCAGAAGCAAGTTCTCTGTCCTGTCCCCCAACAGTTCTACAAGTTTGTGACTATCCCCCCAGGAAAAACTTAAAGCAAACAAATACTTAGCATACCTATAAGACAGGTTTCCAATGTAAAAGAATTCAGTATTTTATAATGTTTTAATAAAAAAAATTAAGATCTTATTTTTTTTTAGAAACAACAGTATTTTTTTAATAGATTTTTTTAAAGTATTTTATTTATTTATTTTTAGAGAGGGAAGGGAGGGCGATAGAGAGAGAGAGAGAGAAACATCAATGTGCGGTTGCTGGGGGTTCTGGCCTGCAACCCAGGAATGTACCCTGGCTGGGAATCGAACCTGGGACACTTTGGTTCCCAGCCCGCGCTCAATCCACTGAGCTACGCCAGCCAGGGCAAGATCTTATTTACAAAGGGTAAGAAATAGAAGAGAGCCCTGGCTGGTGTGGCCCAGTGGATTGAGCACCAACCTGAAAGATGAAAGGTCACCGGTTCAATTCCCAGGGAAGGCACATGCCTGGGTTGCAGACTAGGTCTCCAGTCTAGGGTGGGGGGAGGGGGTTATGGGAGGCAACTAATCAATGTTTCTCTCATGTCTATATACATTTTTCATTTAATTGAATTAATTTCTGAAAACTGTCTCAAATACGGTAGAAAACAAAATGGGGTGTAAACAATATACTTACCTGGGACTTAGTCATTTTCTGTTGCTCTCCAGAAGGGGCAGCTATCTGTAAAGACAGAGCTGGGATGAGCAGACAGCCTTGAAAGCTTGAGAATCTGGGCCTGCCCTGGGACTCCCAGAACCACCAGCCTAGAATTTCCTATGACCAACCACATAAAAGACTACCCTCTGAAGGCTGCCCCTTTCAAAGGCTGCTTTTAGAGAGATCACAAAGGATTATGCTCTGATAACATAAACCTATTAACTTACAATTCTGAGAAGATCAAGACGTGACATGTTTTTCCTTTAAGGGTGTGAATATATTCCATTATATCTTTAAAACTTTTCTCCCCTTGCCATATTTGACAAACCCAGAGCTAACATCATAGTCAACAGTGAAAAACTGAAAGCTTTTCCTCTAATATCAGGAACAATACAAGGATGCCCCCTCCTACCACTTTCAATCAATATAGCACCGGAAGTCCTAGCTACAGTAATTAGGCAAGAAACAGAAATAAAAGGCATCCAAATTGGAAAGAAAAAAGTGAAACTGTCACTAAATCCAGATGACCCTAAAAAACTACACTAAAAACTATTAAAAGTAATAAATTAATTCAATAAAGTCATGGGATACAAAATTAATATACACAAAATAAGTTGCATTTCTATATACTAATAAGGAGCTATCATAAAGAAAAACTAATCCCATTTACAATTGCATTAAAAAGAATAAAATGGCCCTGGCTGGCGTAGCTCAGTGGATTGAGCTCGGGCTGTGAACCAAAGTGTCGCAGGTTCGATTCCCAGTCAGGGCATGTGCCTGGGTTGTAGGCCACGGCCCCCAGCAACCGCACATTGATGTTTCTCTCTCTCCTCTCTTTCTCCCTCCCTTCCCTCTTTAAAAATAAATAAATAAAATCTTTAAAAAAAAAAAGAAAAAGAAAAGGTGTTTAAAAAAAAAGAATAAAATACCTAACAATAATTTAACCAAGGAAGTGGAAGGTCTGTACTCTGAAAACTATAAGACATTCATGAAAAAAAACTGAAGATGACACAAATGAAAAAATATACCATACTAAGGAATTAAATAATATTGTTAAATAATATTGTCCATATTAGCCAAAGCAATTTACAGGTTCAATGAAATCCCCATCAAAATACCAGGCATTTTTCACAGACTTAGAACAAATAATCATAAAATGCGTATGAAACCACAAAAGACCCCAAACAGCCAAAGTAATCTTGAGAAACAGTAGCAAAGCTGGAGGTATTATGTTCCCCTTGACTTCAAACTGTATTTATTACAAGGGTAAACAATCAAAGCCAGCAGAGTATTGTCACAAAAACAGACACACAGATCAACGGAATAGAATAGAGCCCAGAAATAAGCCCATACATATATTCAATACATACAATATACATACATACATACATATGTGTATGTATGAATACATACATATATTCATACATACATACATGAATTGAATACATACATATATTCAATTAATCTATGACAAAGACAAGAATATACAGTAGGTTTTAGACCATCCCTTCAATAAAAGGTATTGAGAAAATTGGACAGCTACTTTCAAAAGAATGAAACCGGACAACTCTCACACCATACACAAAATAAACTCAAAATGGTTTCAAGACTTGAATGTAAGCCCATAAAACTTCTAAGAAAAAACACAGGCAGTAAGCTTTTTGACATCAGTCTTAGCAATATGTTTTTGGACCAGCTTCCTCAGTCAAAGGTGACAAAAGCAGAAATAAACAAACGGAATTACATCAAACTAAAAAGTGTTTGCACAGAGAGGGAAACCATACACAAAAATGAACAGGCAACCTACTGAATGGAAAAGGATACTTGAAAATCGTATATCCAATACGGGGTGAATATCCAAAATATACAAAGAACTTACACAACTTATTTTAAAAATTTAAATGTTACAGAACCAAAGTAAGGGTTTCGCTACCTGTCGCCTCCAATAGGCAAATTCTAGAGGCAGAGACTGGTAAGAAAGAAAAGATTTTTATTCAAATGATGTATGATCCGGGAGAATGGCAGACTCTAGTCTCAGAGCCTGTTCCCTCCGCCCGAGGAAAGCCCAGCCACCCTCAGCCAGGCGACCCCAACGGCAGTGCCCCGGTTCCTGTCCCGTCCTTTGGGAACCGCGGGCAGCCGCCGAGCGGTCACCCAGGAAGCCCAGCTTGCTGCAGGCCGCCACTGTCCGGCTCCAGGCTCCCCGCCGGAACCTGAGTGTGGGGCCAGCGCTACCACTGGCCATGTGGCTTCCACGGACACAAAGTACCTCAAAAGCACCAAATAGTATGGTCCCCAGGTGAGTAAGAGAGTGTCCCTTCCTCCCCCTGAGTTTATATTAGTTTCTGGTGTGGGAGGACCAGGTGCTTTCTCAGAATGTCCAATTAACTTCTCAAACTTCCCGGTGTTCTGAGAGGGTCCGCCTCCCGACCAATCCTGTCTTTCCTTCAGGCCAGATTGACAGGCCTCTTCACTCCAGCACCACCCCCAGACGCCATTCTGACCTCTACGTGGGAAAGTGACTGCCTCTCCGTGGGGTCCCACCGCCAATCTCGTGCGGGAAAGGGGTAGGAGTGTTTTCCCCTATCCAACAACTTGCTAACTTTGCCCCTGCTCAGTGCAATATCTCCTTCTGCCGCCATTTCTCCTGGGGGCGGGGGAACCTGTCGCCAAGTGCAGGACGTCTCCGCCCCGAGGGCTGAGCGTGGGAAAGAAAGGTGCTTGGTTACCCGCACCGCAGCCTGGCCTACTACCAGCAGCACCACTAAATCCCAAGCTCCGCAGGGAGGCAGCTACTATCTGGTACATCGCCCTTCAATTACTCACCACAACAGGACCGGAAATTACGGACCGCTACAAACGCTCCATCGCTGATCATACATGAATCCCTAACTCCCAATACCGCGGCCAAAGACTGAAACCTCCTTTTCTGAAATCGGGCTCTTCAACTTCCCACCTCTTGCGTCTTCTCGTGGGCCCTCAGCTGACAGCTAGGACCTGCCCCCACCACTTCAGGGGCCGTGGGACTCTCCCAGTAACCACGGAAACTGGAGCAGCCCCTCACTCGCCTTTCGCGAGACTTTGCGGGTGGTGAATCCCTGGAGCCGAGGATTAACATGGCCGCGCCCAGGATGGGATGGGAAGGAAGTGGGCGGTGCCCTGTTTCGAATAGTGTTAATGCCGTACAGCAAAGGACGTGAGAACTGAAATAGTGGAGCTACGCAAAAGGTGTAGGAACAGTGTGGGACCGACATTAGAAACTAGGAAAGCCGGGTATCTGAGGATGGAGTCAGGGAACCGATTCAGCTAAAATATGTAGACACGGGTACACAGAGTAAGGCGCAAAGCAAAAATTGTGGAGTCGGGAAGCAGGGGAAGCCCCTTCTGTTAAACAGATGAGAATGTCTCAAATCGATTGCTCTACATCACAGTGCCTCATTCTCCCAATCTGAGGAATAATAATAATAATGTTTATTGAGCACTTACTGTGTTTGTGAGATATGTTATTTAATGTGTTTTAAGATTCAAAGGCATTTATTACAAATAATTTACACATAGCATTCTTTTCTAATATTTTAGTAAAAGTTCTTTAAATTCTCTGTATAACCATCTTTTACACCTGACTCTTACAGTCATTTATAAGGTCATCAAGCCCTTTTTCAGGCCTAGTTGAGGTAGTGCATTTTTGAATTTTGAAAAGTGCTGTCAGTGGAAATTTTACTTCAAGTCTCAGGTTTTATTTCCATAGCTTTAGTACAGTTGAGTTCTTTTCCATTTGTCTTATAGGAATAGCTGTGGTCCTAACGATTTACTGTATTCTTAAGCTTATTGCAGGGACACTGATTAGTAAAATTATATGTTTCAAGTGTACAATTCCATAATACATTGTCAGTATATTGAAATGTGTTCACCACCCAAAGTCAAATCTCCTTCCGTCACCATACACTTGACCCCCTTTACCCCTTTCTGTGGAGAAGTCAGGATAGCACAGTATTCTCCCCAGGAGATAGCCCTGGGAGAGGGTAAGTCAGATTGCCTTTCATTTGGTGAAGTCCAGCCAATCACCCTGGAAAATAAAATTCAAATGTCCTCCCCTCCGCGGGGAACACGTTCCCTGAGTGGGATGAGAAGACCCCGCCCCTGCTGAAGACATCAGATAGGAAGCAGCAGAGGGTGAGCGTTGGGGTACGAACTCTGAAGGACAATTCAGAACCCCTAGATTCTCCTCTCGACCTGGTCTTGAGCTTGCTCTGTGGTCTTGGGGCAGCCACGTTCCCTCAGTTCTCTAATGTGTAGAGGAAGGCTTTGAACTACTCTTTCGGGTATTTTCAGTGTTTGCTGACATAAAGAAGAAAGCTTCAGCATCAATGTCAGTGAAAAGCACGTTAGATTCCACCCAGTTTTTTAAAAAATAATACCATCTAGTGTTATTACTGTTAATTAAATGAGGAGGCCGTTAGACTGAGGTGGTTCCGGTGCCTTAGCAGCCTTCTTCATAAGCAAACCCAAACCCATGCCTGTAAATGCTTCAAGTTTAAGAACTCAAAACCTCAGCACACCCATCACAGACAGCCAAGTAAGGCAACTGTTCAAACTGTAGCCCATCAAATAATTCCCTTGCTTTGCTTCTGAGTTTTCTCTGGAAAAGCCTTGCTCCCAGCTCCTGTCAGTGGAGCGCCTCTAACCATTTTCCATTTGATGCTGCCCAATTCAAATCAATTTTTGCTCAAATAAACTCTTAAAATTTTTAATGTGCCTCAGTTTATCTTTTAACATGACTACAGAAAATCTAGCCATAATGCCTAAAAACACTATGGGTTAATTCTCAAGGTTTGCTAGCGCTTTAAAGCCAGATACAGAGGACTTAATACTTCTGGAATATTCTCCCCAACCATATGCCAGGAGAATCACTATTCAAGCTTCAAAGCTGGGCTCTAACACTTTCTTCTCTAGTTTTGTTGTTGTTTGTTTGCTTTTGTCTGTTTGTTTTCCATGACTCCCAGAAACCTGTTCCTTTTTGTGGGCACAGCTGCATATGCTTCCCCTGCCACAGCCATTGCTACATGGGGCTAGGATCCCCAGTGTTTGAGTCATTCTCCCCTTTGGTCTGACAGCTACTCAGGGCAAGACTATGTCAGAATCAGCTTAGTTTCCCTGCCTTTCTTGTTAGATACACATTGGGTTGGCCAGAAAGTTCATTCGGTGTTTTCCATAAGGTGGTTTCAGTAGTGCTTGGTTGTCTCTAACTTCATTCGAAACAATTTTGTTAGATTGTATTGTGACAGCTGTCATATCAGTGAGCATTTAAAACACTTTATGAAAATGGATGAATTTTTGTGTAGCCATTTTACTATTGAAAATGGAAGAAAATAAGCAACATTTTCAGCATGTTATGCTTTGTTTTTGCAAGAAAGGTACAAATGCAACTGAAATGCAAAAAAAAAAAAAGATTTGTACAGTGTATGGAGAAGGTTCTGACTGATTGAACATGTCAAAAGTGGTTTGCAAAGTTTTGTGCTAGAGATTTCTCGCTGGACCAGTTGTAGATGCTAGCGATCGAATTGAGACATTAATTGGGACAATCATTATATACTATGTGGGAGATGCCCGACATTCTCAAAATATCCAAATTAATCAAGTTATTGGTGAAGATGAAAAATGTGTCTTTTATTTTATGGAAAAACACATACAGACTTCTTGGGCAACCCACTATTTATGTCTACTGACTCTTCCTCTGTAATGGAAAGCTCATTCATTCCTTCAGTCATACACATGTATTACTGCCATGTCCGGTAAGGCAAGGGAGGGGCTCAGTCCCATGTGACAATGCAGTATGACCAGTGATGTGACTGAGGGACTCAGTCCGATGTGACAATGCAGTATGACCGGTGATGTGACTGAGGCCTGCCTGGTGTTGAGTGGGTACAGTAAGAGGTTACTAACCCTGTCAGGGACTGGGGGGGGGGGGGATGGTAGTGGAGGGGGTGTGAGAAGGGCCTCTTAGGAAGGTTAGTGATGCTGACGTTCTGGGGGTCTGGGGACCCGAAGACCCACCATGACCCACTGTGGGCTCTTGGCTTCCCACAGGAAAGAATTCAAACATAAGATGGCATAAATTTAGAGTGAAATAGAGTTTATTAGTGAGACAGAGTGGGCTACTCCCCAGACAGAGCAGCCTCTCCGTAGAGGGATTTACTACTTTTATTGAGGCTCATTTAATCAAGGGGTAGGACATTCAATAAAGGGGAGGAATATTCAGGACTTCTCTGGAAAGATGTGGAGATGTGGAGACTTCTCAGAAAAGCTTCATTGCCACTTTTTGTCCTTATATGGGCCTTTTGTTTTAGATTTCAGCAGCTCAAGGTATGTCATTTAGCATGCTAATGTACTTCAATGAGCACATATAATGAGGCCAGGGGTCACCATGAGGTGGAATTAGTTACTGTGTTGGATCGGACTGGTCTTCCACCTGTTCTAACCCATAAATGCATTGGGGGTTGGTATTACTATAACCTTGGCAGTTCCTGTAACTCTTAAGGGTTATAGCTGTTTTGCCACATACCCTGTCTCATTAGGATATGATTTTTAAAAACTTAGTCTTAGAAGAGGAGCGGGAGTTTATCGGGAAAACAAGGTGAAGAAGGGAAGTTTCAATGGAACAGTAGGTCACTTCTCATATAGAAGAGCAGGCTGATCCGCCTCCACATCTTTGTTCAATTCAGGTGGTTCCCTCTGTTGGGAACACACACACACTCCTGTTTGGAGAGGGAGGGAATTCCTTACCAAAGATTTGGGGAGTCTTGTTTGCTTTGCAAGGCCCTAACTTACTAGTTCTTTTATATATGAAATATAATTCAAGGGTCCACAGTCTACAGCCCTTGGGAGAATCTTGCCCACTCTTTTGATAAAAGTACCTGCTCGTTCATTTACGTATTCTCTTCTTGCTTTTGTGCTGTCGCAACAGCTTTAGGGTCACTCGGTTTGTCCATTTTCTTTCATTGTTCACCTCTAGTCATATTTAGACATCATTTCTTCATTCACTGATGCTAACTTTTAAAATTTATTTTTTACTGCACAGGATGGCTTTCAGCATCATTTCTACTATTCAGGCATACCTATATTCCTAACTGTTTTGGGTGTGGCACTATTATGAGTTCTCCAAGAGGTGTGGGAAACTCAATGTAACCATAACCTGCAACTGGTTTATCCCTCCAAAAAGTGCAGATTTTCTACAGCTCTGGACAGTGATGATCATCCAATGCATACTGCTAGACCTCCACTTGATAGGAGATTATTAATGGAAAAGTCTTTCCCATTGCATTTTCCTCCCAACTTACTTTGTAATGGGGGCTTGATACAGGAGTGGATCATTGAATACATGCACACATTCATGCCAATTCAATTCTCAATATCAGTACCTTTCAATTCTCTGAAATGAGGAGGTCAGAAAGGCAGGCACTCGAATGGGAAGTATTCGCAAAGATGGCATTTAATTACATATTTGGTGAGAACCCATCACTATGCTAGATGAGTATCTAAGTGCAATATATATTGAGCAGCATTGACCGTGACTGGACAAAGTCCTGCTACTGACTCATATGTTTATTCTGAGGAACATATGAGGTAATGTAGTGAATGTGCTGCAAAAAATGTAAAAGATGATGTACATGCCAAAATCATTACCTTTAATTACAAAACCATTTTTGTTCTCATGTCACTGTTCATAGCGTTAACAAGTAAATTATAAAACAGTACAGCTGCATTTTTTTGTCTAGGACTCATGGGTAAAAAATTCTAAGTATGCAGTGGAAAATAGGTTTCCTGTGTGAACCCATATTGATGCATAATACCTTCTGGAAAGCATGGTTAAGAATGATTCTGAGGCCAAGTCGTGATTAACTCAGAAAGAGTTCAGTGGTCCTTCCACAATGGCTGCTGTTGGGCAAGGGCAGGGAATTGTGCCCCTTGCTGCGATGTGCTTGCTGTCCCAGATGCAGGTGTTTGTATTTAAGTGCTTTGAATGAGATAAAATGGAATGAGTGTCCAGAAAATTACGGTCATTCACCTTCAGTAACAATTCATCTTCAGTCTTTGAAAAAATGGCAAGTAAAAGAAACAGTACTGAGTTATAATTGTAATTTATTATTTTAATGAAAGAACATGTTTACTAGGAGAAGTCTTTGTGAATTCAACGTAATATTCTTAGACTCATCATCATTCATAAATAGGCACAGAAACTTCTACTGTATCAAACATCACGGAGTGGGCTCAGTGAAAATTTTAATTAGTGTTAATTTGTGCATATCAAAAGGATTTTAATTGTGGGAATAATACATGTACCTGATGGAAATATTCAAACAATACACAATGAACAGGAGGCCTCCCTCCCAGCTCAGATTCTGTTCCTGTCCTCCTGTGACCAGGGGCAGCCACCCTTAAGTTTTATCTCTATTTTTCAAACCAGGTCTATTCACATACAAATACAGGTATATATACATACATACAGAGAGAGAGAGAGACAAACATGCACCCTTTTGTACACAAGCAGAAACATACTAGATGCATATTTCAGCCAGATGCTCTTTTTACTTAACAGTTTAACTTGAACATCATTTTCTACCAGCACCTGTGTACCCTCAGCTGCTTTCTTTCATTTTCTCTTAATTTTGTGTTAATATTTTTTACATAAACAACCTTTTTATAAAGTTTTCTGCTTATGCAGAAGATAACAAAAACATTAAGAGCTGAGTGATGATATCAAAGATGAGGCTCATACCAGTGACCACAAATACTTACACATGGCAATGAACAGATATGCAAATTCAGTTCTCATATGTTGAGTATACAACACTCAAGCAACTCAGAAACATGTTTCAGCATATGAATGTTTCTCTAGGGCTCTGCTTATTTAACATGTTAACAATTTTTAAAACTTTATATTACAATGTAAACATAGGTTATTTACAATAATTTGTAAAACTTTTCTATAAAAGGTTTAGTATCAAGTTTAAACTTTCAATTGCTTCTATGTGAAGATTTTCAAATTCTTTCATGTACAATGAGGTGACTTCTTGTTCAAGGCTTTCTAACACCCTTTAAATTCAAAATACTTCTAAAGTTAAATAAAACCTTCAGTTCAATTCAAAGATTTCCCACATTATTTCACTCATGAGATTTCTCTTCTGAATGAGTTTTCACATGTTTGGTAAGGGATGCATTTTGTTTGAAGGCTTTTCCACATTCTTTACATTCATAGGGTTTCTCTCCAGTGTGGGATCTCTGATGTATAACAAGTTGTGACTTTGCATTGAAGGCTTTTCCACATTCGTTACATTCATAGGGTTTCTCCCCAGTATGAGTTCTATGATGTACAATGAGGTGGGACTTTTGGCTAAAGGCTTTCCCACACTCATTACATTCATAGGGTTTCTCCCCAGTGTGAACCCTCTGATGCTGAGTAAGGCCTTCAATTTGTTTGAAGGCCTTCCCACACTGATCACATTCAAAGGGACTTTCACCCGTGTGTGTTCTCATGTGGTAAGTAAGGGATGAGCTGTGTCCAAAGGCTTTTCCGCATTCATCACATTTATATGGTTTCTCCTTAGTATGAGTTCTTTGATGTATCATGAGGTGTGACTTCTTGCTGAAAGCCTTCCCACATTCATCACATCCAAAGGGTTTCTCACCTGTATGGATTCTCATGTGTTTAGTGAGAGATGAGCTATACTTAAAGGCTCGTCCACATTCGCTGCATTCATATGGTATTTCCCCTGTATGAGTTCTCACGTGTTCAGTAAGAGATGAGTTATATCTAAAGGATTTCCCACACTCCTTACATTCATAGGGCTTCTCCCCTGTGTGAGATCTCACATGTTGAATAAGATTTGAGCTGTGTCTGAAGGTTTTCCCACACTCAGTACACTTATAGGGCTTTTCCCCAGTATGAACTCTCAGATGGTCAGTGAGGGCGTGTTTGTGACCGTGAGCTTTGCCACACTGAATACATTCATATGGTTTTTCTCCAGTATGAGTTCTCTGATGGACAACCAGGTGTGACTTTTGGCTAAAGGCTATCCCACATTCATCACATTCATACGGTTTTTCCCCGGTATGAGTTCTTTGATGGTCTACAAGTCCTTGTTTGTGGCTGAGAGCTTTCCCACACTGACTACATTCATAAGGTTTCACTTTAGCTTGAGCGGTGTCACACTTCGTAGGAGGTGAGCTATGGCTGGATGGTTTTTCCTGTTTCTCCCCAGTTTCGATGTTGTCCCATTCAGTACGGGATGAGCCACGATGAACCAGGTTCTCAAGTTTCTTGCCAGTTTGAGTTTTGTCACACCTGTCAGATGAGCTATGGTTAGATAATTTCTGTTTCTTTCCAGTTTTATTTTTGTCTTTTTTTGTCTCAGATAAGGTATGGCCCAATGATTTCCTGTGCTCTTTAGCTACATCAGGTTTCTTTTTTGCATGGTTTCTTATATGACCAGGTGAGTCAAAATTCTTCTGTTTCAGACTCTCTCCCTCTGAATTAAATTTAAGAAGCTTTTTTTTGGAAGAAACTTGTGTTGTACTCACATTTTTTGCCCCCAATGAATTACCTTCATGGCCTTTCTTCTTAGTCAAAGTTTTTTTCTTTAATGTAATTTCCCTAAGGAGTTTGTTTTGAGATTCCTGGTGATTCTCTAGCTGGTCATCATCTTGCTGGACTTCCTCTAAAACAGAATTCAATGAGATATTCTTATGAACCTTTTCATTCTCATATTTTAGAATACAATTTACAAAGAAATGCCCTGTTGTGAGACTGAATCTTTATTCAAGCCTAGTACCCCAGAGTGAATGAAATACCAGCACCTATGTCCCTATCCTCTTGGGCTTGAAGGGGGAAATGCTGTAGTAAAAACAGTAAAAGAAAATCGACAATAGTAATTAGAAAAAGCTATTTATAAATATGATCTTGCAACCTGGGATAGAACATGAAATATACACAAGGAGCAGCAAACGTGAAGTAGGTGAAGTAAAAAGAGCTTGTAACTGTAGCTGACACTTTTTTGAGGTCTCTCCTCAGCCCAAGCTGCCCAGCTTTGATAACCGCTAATCCACCCATAGCATTTGTCTCCTGTAGCCTGTACTACATTAATCCATTAATCCAGCTCTCCATGGTCACAGGTGGAGATACATCTGACTCAGGATGTCCAATAAGAGTCTTCCTCCTAAAAATTTAGATTCTAGGTAGTCTCCACTGGGTTCTTAAATTTATAAATGATATAAGACAAGTAAAATAAATCCGTATTTTCCCTGTGAAAACAGAGAATTCATCAGTACGAAGGATGAAGCATACATCCACAGAAAAGCAGAGATGCAGGATCACGTGTCTTCGAAGAGACCATTTGCATAACCTCAATTACTAATGGCTTTCCAGTCCTGGTTCGAGTCCTTGGTAAGGCCTGGCTGAAGTAGCTGCCTTCACATTAGAAGATATCTACCCATGTCCTTATAGTAAATTCCTCTCTCTACTTAGGCTAGCTCATGTACATTTTTTAAAAAGATTTTATTTAATTATTTTCAGAGAGGGGAAGGGAGGGAGGAAGAGAGGTAGAAAAACATCACTGTGTGGTTGCATCTCACATGCCCTCCACTGGGGAACTGGCCCACAACCCAGGCATGTGCCCTGACTGGGAATTGAACCAGTGAGCCTTTGGTTTGCAGGCCGGCACTCAATCTACTGAGCCACACCAGCTAGGGCTAGCTCATGTAAATTTTTGTTATAGCACCCCAAAAAGCCAATACAGCAATAACAAGGCAAGTCCACCAAGGAGGACTGAACAACTTAAGGTGACTGAAGGAATAATCCAGAAAGGCTGTTCCCCTGCTACCACCCATGATCAATGTAATAACATTCCTGCACTAAAAGACAAGACAAAACAACAAAAACCTCCAGTTTCTCTGACTTCCTTAGTGCTTTTACCACATGATAAAATTCACAGAAATGAGATGGACGAACAAACTTCACACCATTTGGATGTACAATGTACACACACACTTGTTTTCCAATAGTTTGCTATGGAGCACCTCTGTTTTCCTGTCAGGTCACGCTATAACCACCAATTATAAATCCAAAGCTAATTTTCTAGCCCTGAGTGATTGCTCCCATTCTTTCCTCCACACACTATGCAGTTGTACATTTTGAGGTATCTTCTCAACCCAGGCCTCCCTTCTCTGAGACCACCGCCCACACTGACAGGTGCAGGAAGCCATGTTTGTATAGTACAACCCAACTTCTAGTGGAAAACAACTGATTGGACAGTGGTAATGGCCAGGCCCCACCCCAGCTAGTCCAATAACAATCTTTCTCTCAAGAACTTAGAATTGAAACTCAAAGACTTCTGGGAGGAGGCAGAAGAAGGTAAAGGGGGAATAAATGGTGACAGAAGGAGACTTAAATTTGGGCCATGAATACATAGTACATTATACAGATGATGTATAATAGAATTGTATACTTGAAGCCTATATAATTTTATTAACCAATGCCACCCCAATAAACAAAAAAATTTTACACAAGAAAGAAACTCAAAGACTTCTCTTAGCAAGATATGGACATTAAACATGTAAAAACCTAAAAACTTAGGTCTTGGGACTGCTACTTCGGGGTGCCCGTTTTCAGCTATGTGCAGAGAAAACTTGGAAAAGCGCCAGGGTGGGAATTAAACAGACTCAAAGAGAGAAGCAGATCTAAGAGTCCCATGGCTGCAGAAAGAAACAGAAAGTGAATAGCTGTCTTGGTGGTGAAGGAACATTACATGAATAAAGTGAAAACTGTGCTCAAACAGAAAAGAGTTATGGTGTTTGAATACCCAGCCAAGAAATAATATTATTTTTATGGAGAATTTTTAAGAGATTAGTTCCCATGGGATAGAAGGTCAGTTTTTCTAAGTGTAGCTGCAGTGGTGATATAGATAAAATAGGGAGAAGTGGAGAAAATAGGGAGAAGAATTTCTAGCTGCTTTTCCATTTAGGAAAGTTTTTAAAAAGATTTTATTTATTTCTAGAGAGAGGGGAAGCGAAGGAGAGAAACATTGATGTGAGAGAGCAATATCGATCGGTTGCCTCTTGTATGTGCTCTCATCGAGGACTGAATCTGCAGTCCAGGCATGTGCCCTGACCTGGAATTGAACCAGCAACCTTTTGTTTGTGAGACGACATCCAACCAACTGAGCCACATCAGTCAGGGCTCCATTTAGGAAATGTTAAGTGATGTACGCATCCTGAGAGAAATTGTATAACAAGAACTTTTATGTAACATGGCAAAGGTTGCATTGTCCAACGCCCAAGGATTCTGGAGAGAGTGAAAGAAAATGTTCTTCTGGGAAATTCCAGAACTTCTGGCCAAGATGAAGGCATAGGTAGACACACTGTGCCTCCTCACACAACCAAAATAAATGACAACGACAAATTTAAAAACAAAAAACAACCAGGACTGCCAGAAAATTGAACTGTATGGAATTTCAACAACCAAGGAGTTAAAGAAAAAACATTCATACAGATTGGTAGGAGGGGCGGAGACGGGCAGCCATGCAGAGAGGACTCTCGGCAAGGAGGCAGCTGGTGGAGCAGGCAGATAAACCTGGAGGAACAACTGGGGAGCCAGACAGACCATAAATATTCAAAAGACCATGCAACCCAGGGTCCCAGTGCAGGGAAAATGAAGCCTCAAAACCTCTGACTGAAAAAACCTGTGAGGGTTATGGCATCAGGAGAAACTCCCAGCCTCACAGGAGAGTTCGTTGGAGAGACCCACAGGATCCTAGAACATACACAAGCCCACCACACGGGAATCAGCACCAGAAGGGCCCAATTTGCTTGTGGGAAGTGGAGGAAGTGACTGAAAGCCGGCGGAGAGCGGAGCAAGCAGCACTGTTCCCGGTCGGACCCCTCCCCACCGACAGCAACACAACACAGCAACTTAGGTTGCCTGGCCCTGGTGAACACCTAAGGCTCCGCCCTTTACTGCTTAACAGGCACACCCAGACAAAAAAGGAAAAAAGAAAAATGGCCCAAATGAAAGAATAGGTCAAAGCTTCAGAAAAAATACAACTAAGTGATGAAGAGATAGCCAACCTACCAGATACATAGTTCAAAACACTGGTAATCATGATGCTCACAAAAATCATTGAGTATGGTCTCAAAATAGAGGAAAAAAATGAAGGCCATGGTAAGTGAAATAAAGGAAAATGTACAGGCAACCAACAGTGATGGGAAGGCAATTGGGACTCAAATCAATGGTTTGGAGCAGAAGTTAGAAAGAAACATTCAACTAGAACAGAATGAAGAAACAAGAATTCAGAAAAATGAGGAGAGGCTCAGGAACCTCCAGGACAACTTTAAATGTTCCAACATCTGAATCACAAGAGTGCCAGAAGGAGAAGAGGAAGAGCAATAAATTGAAAATTTCTTTGAAAAAATAATGAAGGAGAAATTGCCCAATCTGGCAATGGAAATAGACTTCTAGGAAGTCCAGGAAGCTGAGAGAGTCCCAAAGAACTTGGACCCAAGGAAGCACACACCAAGGCACATCATAATTACATTACCCAAGATTAAAGATACGGAGAGAATTTTAAAAGCAGCAAGAGAAAAGAAGACAGTTACCTACAAAGGAGTTCATAAGACTATCAGTTGATTTCTCTAAAGAAACCTTATAGACAAGAAGGGGCTGGAAAGAAGTATTCAAAAGTCATGAAAGGCAAGGACCCATATCCAAGATGACTCTATCCAGCAAAGCTTTCATTTAGACTGGAAGGGCAGATAAAGTGCCTCCCAGATAAGGTCAAGTTACAGGAGTTCATCATCACCAAGCCATTATTATATGAAATGTTAAAGGGAGTTATCTAAGAAAAAGAAGATCAAAAATATGAACAGTAAAATGACAACAAACTCACAACTATTAACAACTGAACCTAAAAAAAAAAAACAGTAACAAAAATGAACTAAGCAAACAACTAGAACAGGAACAGAATCACAGAAATGGAGATCACATGGAGGATTATCAGCAGAGGAGTGGGAGAAGGATAAAGGGGGAAAACATACAGGGAATAAGTAGCATAAATGGTAGGCAGAAAACAGACAAGGAGAGGTTAAGAATAGTATAGGAAATATAGAAGCTGAGTAACTTATATATACAACCCATGGACATAAACTAAAGGGGGGGAATATGCGTGGAAGGGGGTATGCAGGGCAGAGGGGAATAAAGGGGGTAAAATGGGACAACTGTGTTTGCATAATCAATACAATATATTTTAAATAAAAGAAAATTTTATTCTGGGAAAAAGGGATCAAAACTCAAACCTTTCCCCATATGGTGTAACATCATAAGAACCTTTTATAATGATGTTTGGACTGGTCCCAACTGACATTGGCCAGTAAGGAAAGATATAAAGTACTACAAGGGAAATTTACCATGAGGGAGGGAAGAAGAGGAGAATCTGAACTAGCAAACTGGTATAAGAGAGTAATACTCAGGGGAGAGCTGGGTGGGGGAGCATGTATCTGTCTATAAGCTTGTCTGGAATGTGAGACAGTGACTGAAACATGAGTTGTAAGCTAAAATGACTACAACTTCAGATACTGAGGTATGGAGCTCGTTAGACTCAGTACATCATTGGAGGAAACAGAAGAGTCCTTCCTGGAAGAACCTCCAAGTACTACAGAAGAACCAAAACAAAGAAGAGAGTCACTGGAGCAATGACCAAGGTGTGTTAGATGACTCGGGATATTTGTTAGTCGTAATATTAAGTATCACTGAGAAAAGTAAAGATAGCCAAACTGCAGCCGCTAATGAATGGATCAAAAACTTCATAAGGTCTCTCATTTGTTATTTGAAGGACGGGTCCCTCCAATCTCAGGAAACTCAAGGAGTCTTGGAAAACCCAGAGGGAACTTAAAAAGATGTTTTGGACATTCTGCTAATTTGGGGACTGTAATAATATAAATAATAACTGAATGTTTTAATGTTTGGTGGCAACACTTAAGATGATTTTTTTTTAGAAAGGGGACTTAACAAATCTACCTAAGAATTGAAGCAATTTAGTTATGTGATAATATGAATCTTGTTTGGCCAGTGGCAGTGAGAAGAAAAATCGCCATGAACTGAAGAAAGAATAAAAAGAAAGAAGGCAGAGAGCACAGATTCAGAGAAACTCCATGGCGGACAGGCCTAAAATCAGAGCAGACCCTGATAAAAACAGGGGAGGTGAAAGGAAGTTCCAATTCAGAAAGAAAGACAAAGTTTTCCGTTCTGACCCCCTGAGAACAAGCTGTCTTACCAGCAGGTCAAGTGCGAGTCAACACCAAGGACCTGCAGACTGACCTGGAAACTGACCTTAGAGTCACCGCAGTAGAATTAAAAGCTTGTATTTCCACAAAGCATGATTCCTTGGAGGGTAATACCATAAAAAAAATAGATAGTAGAAGATACACCTTAGGGACAATTCAGCAAAGTGAGAAGGAAGAGACACTGGTGAAAAAATGGTCAAGGAGCACTCAGAATAAAATCAGAGGCAAGTGTTATAATTCGAACCGGGCAGGCAAGAATTTAGCCTGATCAAAACGATTCAAATATGCACTGAAAGGTAAGCAGTGGTCACTGTAAAGTCAGAAATTTAGGTGGAGACATGAAATCTGTGGCATTTGACTGCAAAGGTTAAGGAGAAGATGTAAACAACGATGCATTACAGACCACAGATCTAGAACATTTCACAGGGAAAGGAGGAGAAGGGAAAGTACTTAGGGTCAGAAGCATCAAGCCCGAGATTTGGAAAGAGGACAGATCTAAAAATGTCTGAATATACAAAGAGAAAAATTTCATACCATGGGGTTTTAGGGCTACAGTGAACCTCATATGAGAGCCTTTCACATGGACAGGTTCACAGAAAGAAGAAATATTAGAATCTCCGAGGTTAAAGAATCTTTGTGGTTTGAAATCTTCTTCCTCCAGGAGATTCTGGTATTTCTGTTGCTACTTCCTGGTTAAGAAAGAAGGATCTGGGATCTTTAAGAAGAATTTAAGAATAAACAATTCTTTGGCCCTGGCTGACATAGCTCAGTGGATTGAGCACGGGCTGCGAACCAAAGCGTCGCAGGTTCGATTCCCAGTCAGGGCACATGCCTGGGTTGCAGGCCACGACCCCCAGCAACCGCACATTGATGTTTCTCTCTCTCTCTTTCTCCCTCCCTTCCCTCTCTAAAAATAAATAAATAAAATCTAAAAAAAAAGAATAAACAATTCTTTGAATAATTCCAAAGTTACCACCAGGAAATGAGGAACTTACTTCCATTGGCTCCTTTTTGCTTGGGTCTTGGTGTTTCACGTGGTGTTCCACCTTGTCTGGGTCTTTTCCCCTTCCCCAAACATGGCTGTTCTCCTTTTTCCAACTTGGAGATCATGTCTGGCTTGGCAGCTTGACACCCTGCCCATGGGGAATGGTAGACATTGAATGTTAGAACAGCAAACATCCCCGAAATCAAGCCCTGACATTTGAGCTTCAGAGCCTTTACAGGATAAGGATACAGAACATATGGATTCTGAGATTTCACAAGGCCCCACCCGAGTAGACCTTCTATTTTGGACGCAAGGGCAAAGTATCGTGCCTAGTACCCAAAAGGGATTAAAATTCCTTCACTCAAAAACCAAGGCCAAACTTAGGAAGGACTTCAGAGAGGAGGAATCACAGTGGACACATTTTGAATTACGAAGGAATTGCCTTACCCATTGAGGCGAGGTTGCTGTAGTTCTCCAGCATCACATCCTTGTACAGGCTCCTCTGAGCTGGGTCTAGATGCTCCCATTCCTTCTGGGTAAAGGCCATAGTCACGTCTTTGAATGTTACCAGTCCCTGTAATAGGATATTCTTGTTCAGTCTAATGTCATCCACACTCGTGAGTGACTGGGACAGATCTTACCTTGACCATTCACTGTTGATAGGATGTTATATAGAATACCTATTCTCTGCTCAATTTTGCATTTTTTCTTCAGAAACAAAAATCATATTAGTCCCTGTTATGGACTGACTGTGCCTCCTCTAAATTCCTATGTTGAAACCCCACCCTCTGATAGGATGGCATTAAGAGAGAGGGCCTTTGGGAGGAGATTACAATCGGATCAGGTCAGGAGGGTGGAATCTTCATGCATGGAATTAGTGCCCTTATTAGAATCAGGAGAAAGCTCACTTCCTCTCTCTCTTTCTGCCAGTGAGGACAGAAGTCTGTAACCTGGAAGAGGTGACATCTCAAATGAGCATTCAATACTGTCAGTTTCCTATTCCTCTTTCAAAGATGATTATGTCAAACATTCTCCCCTTTCTCTTTGAAATCTGCAACATCTACTCCTTTTCCACTCTCAGCTGATGCATTTGTCTACTTCAAAGAGAAAATAAATGCAAATGGACCAGAACTACCTTGCCTTGTTACCATCAATTCCACTATCGTGTTTCCAAACCCACAGAATCTATCTTCCCTTGTGTTCAAGTGGAAGAATTGTCCTTTGTCTCAACTAAGGCCAGTCTGTCCACTTATGCTCTGGATCCCATTTTTGACTGCCTTCTCAGGGCTTTCACCCCTGTAGTCAATCTCATTTCTTTTGTACTATCTCCTTTCTACTGGATCATTTCAACATACAAAGTTACCTTACTATCTATCATTCATCTGAAGAAAATCTCTCATAATCTCAAGTCCCATCCAATGACGATTTCTTTTTTCCCTTTGCCAGCAAAACTCCTAGTATCATCTAGACTTGCTGTTTCTACTTCATTACTTCCCATTCTTTCCACTCATCCCAACAGAATTTTATACTCCACCAAAAGAGCTATACTCAATCAAAATAACCATTGAGCTACATCTCATCAAGATCAACTTCTCTGTAGTCACACTTCTGGGACCCACAAGAGCATATGACATAACCGATTACACCCCTTGTCTTGAAAAGATTTTTTCTCCATGCTTATTTGACACATTTCCAATTTTCCTCCTGCCTTAGCTCAGTGGATACACTTTTTCATTTGTTTGTTTGTTTGTTTGTTTGTTTTTATTTCCTCCTAAACCTCATAAAGTGTCAGAATGACTCAGAGTGGAGTCCTGGGCCCTCTTTTCTTCCCTATCTGCCTTCTCTCCCTAGGTCATCTTATCCAATGTTAGAGCTTTAAGTGCCATCTTCACGCTGATGCCTTTCAAACACGGATTCCCTAGCTCAGACCTCTCTTAAGTTCTAGGCTCATATATCTAACAACTACTCACATCTCTCCTTGGACATGCCATGGGCATCTGGACACTGCCCAAACACAACCACTGCCATCTAGCCTGCGTTCCATTCACATCCACCAAACCTGGTCTCCAACACAACCCGTTCTTAGAAACGGAACCACCATCTATCCAGTTCCTAGATGCAAATCATGATTTTTTTTTCCTTCCCTCAGGTTCCATACGAATTCATCAGTAAGTGCTATCGGCTCATCTCCAAACGTATTCTGAATGTGGCTTTTCAGGTCAATGCTACAACCCTTTTCCAAACCATCATCATTTCTTCCTTCCAACTACTGCGATAAACTCTCCTGGCCGACCTTCCTGCACCTCTGGCACCCACAGGGACTCTCCAGCTTTCAACCAGCAAGCCACGGTACTCGCTGCCTCCCACACACGCCCCAAATTGCGGACCCCCACCTGCCTCCCGAGTCTCTGACACACCACAAAGCCCCCTTAATGAGCCCCGGGGCCTTCCCAACGGACCTTTCAGTGACTGCCACACACTCAACCTGCTCCCCAACACGGTCACCGCAGGTCTCTCAAAACGCCGATTTTTTTAAACTGGAGCACTCGACCGCACAGACCAGTCCACCGCTACTCCACAAATCCCGCAACACGCGACCCGCCCTCCGGACTCCACTGCAATTCCCAAAGCACCTATTTCACAGACAACCGTAAAGCTCCATCACTGACCCCCAATTACACCGTCTCTTCCCACGGGAGCGCCCCCGGCCCGTCGTCGCGCTCACCGCCGTGCTGCCCGCAGGCTTGGATACAGCCATCTCCGGGTGACACCTGGCCTATTCGGCGGTCCTTGAACTCTTCCTCGGGTCCACGGCCTCTGGCTTTGTGGGGATCCGGTCGGAGTCACAGATGGACAAGGCGGCCAACCCAAGCGCGGCCTCAGCGGGTCCTGCAGAGACGATGGCGGCGCCCCTGGATCTCTCCCGCGGGAGCCGCCATCTTGGCCGGGGTTCCTCCGTACAGCGCCGACCCCGGGTCTTCCTGCCCGCTGTCAGGCGATGGCCCCAGGGGTTGGTTTCTTAAGCCGCCCTGGAGTGGTCGGGTGCGAGCACGCGGAAAATCCGCTCAGTTACTCCCCGCAGAGCGCTTCAGGGCGCCTGGCGTCCTGCCGTAGACTCCAGGGGTTTCCCCTGCTAGAAGGCTGAATTTGGAGCCGCCGTTCTGAATCCCCGCCCAGCTACCTCGAAACCGGCCACAACGCCTAAGGCAGGCTCCAGATAGCTAGGATAACTAGCGCAATTGGAGGGAGAAAAAGCCCCATCGGGCAGAAGCCATTGTTTCATAGGGAGAGGAGACTAACCTTTGAAATTTAGGATGTCTTTTCATTTATGATTTACAAACAGTGGGGGGGGGGGCGGGGGAGAAGCAGCAGGTTAAGTGAACACAACACCCCTCACTGAGAAGCCGGATTTGACGGAGATATTTCATCCAAATTATCAAGCGATTACAGCAGAAATAATTTCTCAGTGCACTATGTCATGTCTCAACATCATTTACCAATTATTTCCCGAGCTTTTACTATGTGCAGACTAGGTGGCTGTTCTACGCTAGATAACGGAAAAGTGGAGACGCGGGTACACGCACTCTGTTCCCCGGCTGGAATTTACGGTGGGGCAGAGGCTGGGGAATATATCTTGTTCCTTCTCTGGCCGGCCTGGCTCAGCTTCTTGGAGTATCCCCTTGTAACCAAGGGCTGCGGGTTCGATTCCAGTCAGGGCACATTCCTAGGTTTCCGGTTCCATTTCCAGCCGCCAGGAAGTGGTGGGGTGCAGGGCAAAACCTCAAAACATGCTTCTCTCTCTCCATACGAAAACATGTTGTTCCTTCTTCCACAAGCAAACACACCCTGTTGTGCACCTTCCACTCGGGTTATCCCCACTGCGTTGTCCCTCAGTCGGCAGTGGGTTGCATTTGCCCGCCTTCCCTCTCAGTCTCTTGTCTGAATACGAGCCTCAGAGCATCTGCACTGAGCTCATAAAAAAGACCCCCTAGGCCTCCTAGTCTCAAGACACTTTCTGCCTAGTATCTCCAACCTATTCCTGAGTTTTTTTCTAATGAAAACAAAAATTGTGTTTGGCCAACAAATCACAGTGGTGTTTCCCATTTATCCCTGGAACAATCCCAACAATGTTTCCCTAGCCATCTAGTATCAACCCTAGGGCCCAGCAACACATGTTGCAGGCAATGTGATCACCCAATTCTAACGTGTTAACCATGAGTTAGTTGGGACACATGACAATTGGGGGTTCTACAAACCACACCTATTGTCGCCATTGACAGTTAAGTAACCTTTGAGACAAACAGTAGCTACAAAGCGCCAGATGAGGAACTAAACAGGGCCTGACCTCAGCGCTCCTTCTCCTGTGACCTTTGGCATGTAGATGACCTCTCAGAGCCTGTTTGCTCCCATGTGTTCGGGGAAACATCTATGGAACAGAGGTGGTGAAAGCCCGAAGAAAAGAGTGTGTGTTCAACCCTAAGTGCAATGGCAGGGATTCAAAAGGGAGAAGTAGGTTTGCTCATTGATTCTATTAGCAAATGTCAGTGAGACAGGTAAGACAGGACTGGTGGTTGCAAGGAAAACAGACACCTTAAAGAGTAGACACAGCAAAATGAGATTATGGGACCTAATGTTCAATACAACTGTAAAAAGGAATTCCTTTGAAAGGAGAAGCATGAGTTCAGTGTTTTAGCAGCGGCGGAGGGATAGATTTGCATAACGGTGTGGTGAGAATACCGCACAGGGGGTTTGGAGTGGAAGTAGTGGGGAGAGTACACATGCATAAGCCTGCTATGGATGTGCATGTGAACCTGCACCATGTGTCTTGTACATATGTTAGGGAACTGAGAGAATTAAAGATGCATTCAACAATAGAGCATCCCGCAAGGCACTCAGCCTGCTCACTGGAAGGAAAACCTTGATTCTAGATGGGTTTCTATATGCTCATCTTAAAGAAATACACTCTGTCTTTGAGATACAGGCTATCATGAAAATAAATAAATGAACACAAACACCTATGTTTCTTTCAATGGATTTTATTTTTCATAGAAAACAGGAAAACCTCTGATGGGGAAAAGTCCCCATCAATGACAGCCACAGTAACCTGAGACCCTGGAAGAACTGTTTTCCTCTCTAAGCGCTCCCTACAGGTTGTGTGCTGGAACACTGGCCCCGTGGGTCCCTGAGCTGGGGTCCTCTTGGAGCCACAGAGCTGCTTCATGATGGAAGGAGTTTCCCCCACAGGTGGATTTCAGTGGCGCTGTGGGGAGGAAGCTGGTTGTCTGGGACCCTCGCACCGGGAGTTGGGAGCACGGAATCCGGCTTGGCACTCCTGCAGAAGGGACTGGGTGAGCACGCCTGCCTGCGCGAGTTGGCTTGCTAAGGCTGGCCGCTGGCGGGTGGGCGGGGCTGCGAGGCCAGGAGGGTGTCGAGCTGGAAGAGCGCCCAATGCAGGTTGGCCCCCATGTGCGCCAGCTGCCAGCTGAGCCAGGCGCGCTGCGAGACACCGATCTGGGTGCCACTGGTGGGCCCCGGTAGGAAGGCGCCCCCCGGAGCCCGCAGCTCCTCCAGGCCCACGTCCAGAGCACCGATTTGGTTGAAGAGGTTGGACACCAGGACTTCCGGAGGCTGGGGGGCTTCTGGAGACGGGTGTTGGCGGCGGCGCTTTGGGGAGGGCGACCTGCAGGCTGGCCTGGCCTGGCCCCATCTGGGACGAGTGGTCTTCCCTGGACTTCTGGGTGGGATCCTCCTGCCATTGAGTGGCAGGGGAGGGCGGGCAAAACCTGCGCGGGAAACAAAACAGCAGGTGTTTCAGTGAGTGTGAGCGGCCTGGACAAAGTCACCAGGGCCCCATCCCTGAGCTGACTGCCCCACCTCCCACTCCCCACCAACACTGACTGGTGGCCCTGCCACAGTCTGATGGGAACCACTGCCAGGTCCTGCACCTCTGTCTTCAGCCCCTTCGGGCCTTAGGGTCATCTCACCAGGGTCGGTGTGTCCCTCCCTCCCCTGGGTGCTGGTGTGCCCCTCAGGGCAGGTGTCCACACCCCCCGTCTCTGCAGAGGCACAGCCCAGAACCTACCCGGCCTGTCCCGATGTCCTGCTCTGCTGGAGTCGGGCTTGTCCTCTCTGCTCCCTTGGGTGGGGGAGAGCCGTCCCCTCACCTTCCCTTCTGGGCGTCCCTTTTCTTTGGGGCCACTGTGAAGGGAATCATCAGGGCTGCTCCCCCGACTGTGCCTGGAGCTCCTAGCCACTCGGCTCTGCCTGGTGACTGCTGTGGGTGGAGAGGTGGACAGTAATGAGTGAGGGGTCCCGGACCCATCTCTGCAAGTCAGGAGGAGAGTGCATGAGTGGAAGAGCCCCACCTCTAATGGCTGATATCTCCGGGATGCCCACTGCCTCCCTGCTCCATGGGCAGCTGCCCAGGGCACAGCCTTTCCCATCGCTATCCATGTCCCTCAGCTGCCTGGCATGCCTGCTCCAGGAAGCCCTCCCTCCAGTCCAGGGCCCAAAGCTGGCTCAGCTGCTGAAGCCCATAACCCAAAGGCATCTGGATTGCCCTGACTGCTTCCACTGTATGAAGGTCAAGCCTTCTGGGGTTTGCTGATTTGCCTACCCCCATAATCTTCTCTCTCTCTCTCTCTCTCTCTCTCTCTCTCACACACACACACACACAGACACACACACACACACACACAAGGGAGAGAGAGAGAGAACTGAGAATCCTACCTCCTTTGCTGTGGGAGCTTTCCTCAGTGTCGGTGATCTTCTTTCTCCCCCTCTCATAGTGAGGCCAGTCTTCTCCTTTTGCTCCAATGGATGGGTTTCCCTTGGAGCAAACCCTCTCATATTCCCTGTGGGAGCGACCTCGTCTTTCTGGGTGCTCCTGACCAGGTCTTCTGCCACTTGTGACCCCTTCCATCTCCTCCACGTCTCCCACCGGAGCCAGGCTACGTGTCTGGAGGCCTGAGGAGTGAACCAGGCAAGGCCCAGGCAGACCGGACGCCAGGCTTTATAGCAGTGGGTCCCCTGCTGGGTCATACCATTACTGTAGGGTGGGGCTGGAGGGGAGACCCTGGGGAAGAACAGAGGAGGGGCTTAATGGGATTAGGCACTTGTGGAGTCTCCAGCCCACTCTCTGAGTCCCTGTGACACTTCAGCTGCTCATTTCTGAACATTTCCCCCTGCCTGGCAGCAAGCAGAGGCAACAGGTTCTGTGTTGTGTGTTGATCTCAAAGAAGGTGCAGTCTATGTGTTTCGTGTGCCGTTGCTCTTTCAGCATGGGACACTCCATGTGCGCCCAGGGCCAGCACAGTGCTGGTGGGAAACACTGAGTCACTCTGGCCTGTTCGGCTGTGCGTTCTCTGTGGCCCGTCCTCCGTTCTGCCGTCACAGCAGCAAAGCCACTGGAGCGTCTATGGAGTGAAAAGCGTGAGATGAGGCTCCCGATTATTGTTTTCTTCCAAACCTTAACCCACAGACTACAGGGCTCTGCTCTCCACAGCTGGTCCACGTGGAATTCGTTGATCGAACCGTCTGCATGTGATTTTCCCTTCACTCGTCCCCATCTGACAAGGTTTCATAGGCCCGGGAAGATTGTGCCAGGCTGTGCTGTCCTCGGAAAGCTTCTGCCTCCTTTGCTGAGGAGGGTAATCAAGATACACAGCTCTAGACAGGACGAATGGAACCTTGTCAAAAAGGATAAGGTCAGATGTGCAAGTCCAGGCCGTCAGCTCTCACGTGACAGTAAATCTGTGTGAAGTAGCTCCATCTCAGAGGATTTGTCATCTCTTCAGGGAGAGGTCAAAGCCAAAGGACTGGTTTCGGCTACATGGATGCACAGCCTGGATGATTTCCTCAAAGTCACAGGTTCTTTAGAAACGGTGCTTTCACCTTCCAAATGGTGCACGGCGTTTATTCTCTAAGACTGATGGCTCTCAGGATTCCAGCTGCGTGCCTGGGTGTCACCTTCACAGGCAGGGGGCGTTGTCCAGAGCACAGGTGGATTATCTCCCTCCCGTATCTCTGCATCAGAACGAAGGCGGTGTTTGGGACAC